CACACATATTTTGTGCCTCCGGAACATTTCAAGTGAAAATGGTGAGCGCGAAAGAAGAACAATTGCATTCAGAATCATCCTTTTTCCTCCCCATATCTCTTCTATCCCACTGGTCAGACAGAGACATAGCCTCTTCAACAAGCTTCATCTGGTCATTGAGAGCGCGAAATGGTCTAGAAGAGCATGAAGAGAGCAATACGGAGACAAACGAAAAAACTAAAAGAAGATATTGGAGAGCTTCAAATGCGATTTAATAAACAACTGATAAGCACAAATAATGAGATGACTGATGACAATTTCACTTTTCTCTTTCTCTCTCATCATCAGCTTTGCCGGTTATAGAAACGGTCAGCAGTTGGCTCAAGCCGGAATCTGATGAAGATGAATATCAAAACGGCTGACTTAGAATGGTAATCTTATGCGTCTTCTAAACACATTTGTCATAAGCAAATCTTGTATTTGAGATCGAATTTCTCAATCATTTGTTATTATAAAGCCATTAACTATATGCATAATTAGCCATTTCAAACATATATAGATTAAGATTATGATGAATGAGGTTCAAAGCATATTCATATGCTATTGCAGCTTCTGCTAACAACGGCAATGTCTATGACCATAGATGGAATAAACTAAAAAACGGTTGAAAGTTTCAAACTTGGCGACGGAAGGAAGTTATTGTGCAAAAACGAAATATAAAGTTCTAGAGAGAAAAAAAAGGAGAAAAAAAGGTTTTTTTCATTCTCAATCCTCAACGCTTAGATTGAATTGGAAGAATGAAGCCAAACGACTATGGATGAAGAAGATGGAAGAGAATTACATTTGAATGAAAAGAAGCTTCAAAAATGCTCGAAAAGCTCAAACAATCATATATAAGTACATAAGGAGAGATATGCAACCGTTCCGAACGTCTTCATAGAAGAAGCAATTCAACCTTCAACTTGAAATCATCGATCCTCTAACTATCCCCCCCCCCCTCTCTCTCTCTCTCACTCAACTCATTCTCTGTTTCAAGTAAACAGAATGAGAAACATGAAGGTTATCCTTTACCAGGAAGGAAAATCATTTGTTTCCTACTTTTCTTTACCAAAAAAGCTTCATGTGCAGCAACTTCGCTTAATGAATCTCATCTACACCCTCTGCTAGCTTTCTACTCACATCTACTAATTTCATTAACAAGTAAAGAAGATTTCTCACACAACTGGAGAAGTTAAGCTTAAACATCTAATAGATTAAGCATTCAAGTGACAACTCCTAAAAAGGAAGTTGCAAACAGTTGAAAGAAGAAAAACGAGAGGATGAAGAGAAGTATGAACGTTTACAATTGCTAACTTTTCAAATGAGGAAAAAAAAGATTAAAATGTCATTCAGATGGATTAAACAACAGCTTTCAACCAAATAGTTGCAGAAGGGGGTGAGGGAATGGGAGGGTGGATGATGAGAGAGGGGGGGGAGATAAAGGAAAGCAATGTTCATGTTCATTGCTAAACATCAAACAGTGGCTAACAACCAAAATAATTCTTTTAATTTCATTCGTTTGACCAAGAGTGCGAATAAGAAAAAATTTTGAAAAAAACCCGTCGCCAGCTTTGTCGATTCACCGACCAGAGCTCTCTCTCACACTCACTCACTGCTGATGCTGGCGCTGGTTGGCTCGTTGGTGACTATGTGGCTGACAAATGAAGCTTCCAAAAAGGCAACTCAGTGATCTTTATGGATATGAAAGAGTTATGCTAAATCAAAAGCATAATTATGTAAATGTAAGATGCCTTAAGCAAATCCAAAATGTCAAAATAAAATTTATTTTTTTGGTATAAATCTCGACGTAAACAAATAAGGAAGGATATCATACAGAAGCTCATGATCATATCTTTCTGATAGAGTAAAAGACATTTCAAATAACATAACTATATCATATATGTAACTGCATTCTTGCATATTGCATAACTCAAGCTTATGCCACATATGAGCTTAAGCTTTATAACAATGCATTTGCATAAAGTTTTATCATCAAAGGAGTTTTCTGTCTGTCTCTTCTATCTCTCCTTACTCTCCTGTTGAAGCTTTCATAGCTTCTTCATATCTACTGATTCGGTGAGCCGAGAAATAAGAAAAGATTGACGTGAATGAACAAAAGTCAAAACTATTCTTAGTCATTGGTCTACGATTATCAAATTAATATTTAACAAATTCTATTTATTGAATTTCAAAATATAGCCTGCTGGAAGCTTATTGCCAAGTCTGCTCTAACTCTTTGCTTCTACTACGAACTCTTTTCGTCCTCCTTTTTTACCACCTTTTCTTCTTCAACCATCCAAAATTTTATTCATTCACGCAACTTGAAGATGTCCGAGAGACTGATGAAAACGACAACGAACAGACTCGATAGCCATGCATACGGAATGAAGTGGAAAGCTAACTTTTAGTTTTTGACAATCTTGCTTTCGCCATCCCAATGTCCTCATAGACCCCCTCCTGCCATTTGTTTTACAAATTTGGAGGACAAGATGAATATACGGGATGTCCGAAAAGTGGTAAGCACCACAGAGGGATATAGTAAGTAGAAAGGGGGGGGGGGGGAAGATTCAAAAAATGTGTTGGTGGTGGTGGTGATGAAGATGATGAAGGAGAAGAAACTGAAGGCAGCTTCAATCGCGGAAAAAGAAAGAGAATAAGACACATCTGGATTGCTCAGAAGACAAGAAAACAAAATGAAAACGACGTACGGAATGCAATATAGAGGACTATGAATTGTAATATAAAAAGAAATAATACAAAGCTTATTGGCCACATTTCTTCACACTCATTCCCCCCCTCTCTTTCCCAAACGAAATAATTACACATACACGCAAAGAGTATAAAAGACAATAAATGCAAATCATTCAAAAGCAAAAAAAGAAAGAAAGAAAGAAATTTCATAATCTATTGCTAATCAATATATAGAAAGAGTATTATTGATTATCCAAGCTCATATGCAGCTTCATCATGTTCATTTCATGTTTGTAGTAAACGTTTACATGAAGTTATTCACTCATACGACCATTTTACACATAACTTCAATCAACAAATAGTTGGAACGAGCCACAGCTTTAAGCTGTCATCGAACATTGGCAAAATGAGCGTGAACAAGTTTGTCGTTCCGGAAGCCTCTGACACACATACACAGACACACCAATGTCCATTGCAAGGAGCTTTCATCTTCCAAATGGTCATTTCCCTGATGGGAATTTCTTTGTCTATCCTGGACTTTGCTCACAATTATTTAACAACATTGCTCTCTCATTTGAAAACTCTCCAATGTCATAAACAATATGGTATATAGAAGAAAAACAATAGCTCTCGCATAGTAATATCGCAAAATCAAAACTCACGGACCGACCGCTCGTCACTGTTCCATACCAGCCAATGAAGCTGGTTAGTTAGACCCACGTGAAATTCCACGTATGACGTGGATTGCAATAAGACGCTGCCAATAGAATTTGAACAATTTCAATTGTGTTGAGTTGGCAAACAAGTGATTTTTGAATATTAATTATTCGCGCAAAATTATACAAATTATAATTTATGGTTGGCGCGTATGATGTGTGATCTACCGACCCCGCGATTCTGATCATTTGGTATGTCAGCTTTGTTTCGATGAGGTAGTTATATGGTTTATAATGAGTGAAGTATTTTGTGTGCCTATTTGGGAACGTTTTGAGGACGTGAATTTCGTCATGGAAGCCCAATTGTTATTAATTTTCATGGAAAGCTTTCATTGAAGTTTCATTTGACATCAGACTTAGATTCTCATCCGCAAATGGAATAGCTAATGTGCTTTTTTGTGAGCTAAGAAGTAATCGGAAATCATTTGTCTGGAGCTTTTATGAAATTTATATTATTCATAATATATCATAACTTTCAAGTTGTCTCAAAATACTTCAGCACAAGTCTCAATTTTCAGGGCTTAGCGGCTGCTCTACGCTGGTAGATCCCAGTCTGTTTGCATAGATGGGGGAGCAGATGATTCTTTGCTTGATCATATGAGTCGAATCAGGAATTCCTTCGTGAAAAGCGTTGTTCAACAGATTGATTGTGTTCAATCTGTTTATGTCCAGGTTGTTTTGATTGTCGACGCAGGGATAGGAAGAGAAGGTGAGAAGAACGGAAAAGAGAGAGAATGAGAGAAGCCCATGATCAATTCAATCAATGAGCATATTGGAAGGAAATGTCGCCCAGTAACTCATATGAAGAGTTCTTTCTCCTGAATAGCGAAGATTCATGAAGAGTTACAAGCTCGACTGAAGTAAAATGAAGAAAGAGTGAGAGAAACCAGTAGAGTGGACACCTGCTTTTGTGCTGTAAATGTCCGTCGTTAGTACCAAACGACTGCGTAGTGAATGACACGCAGAGGCGCCTGCTACCCGGGCCAGACCCATCGACATTTGTTCCATATCGATTGCCTGTTATTCCCGTGTAGTTTCTATAGTGCGGTGGTTTCCGCTTTTTCGATCATTAAGCGGCTTTTCCAAGTAGAACCGGTATGAGTAAAAGCGAGTAAGTTCCATTTCAATTGTTCCTCTATCCTATATTCCATTTCACACTTCATGTAACTGTCCAAAAAAAGTGTGAGCGTCCATGACGCTGAGCACAAGCGCGCGTCTTCCAATACACAAGACGGGAAATGCTTACTTTTGTTTGCAAATAGTTAATGTTCCATGTCTTTCTTCTCGTCTTTTTGTTTAAAAAATACAATCTGCGACGACGCAGTATAGTAAGGGAAGTGTTGAAGTGTTTGTCGTTTGTTTGCTCTTCTTGTGCTGCGCGGACGTACAGTCCATGCAACGCCAATCGACCTCCTTCTTCTTCTCCTCCTCCATCATCCTTCCCTCCTCACCGTCTTTTGCTTCTAATCTATATCCACACATCGTGTATTCCACCTCACACAGTCAGACAGTCTGCTTGTCTTGACCTTTTTTTTTGTTTCTAAATTAAAAAAAAAAGCAAATTAACTATTCGAAATGGAGGCTGAGGAGCCTGTAGAGCCTGTAGAAACGAAACCAATGTTCCCGCGTTCGCGTATATACCATAGGTACATGAAGTCTTTTGCTTTAGTTCATAGTTTGATCCCATTGATTCGATTTTTAAAGATTCATCTCTACTTCAACCATGCTTTCAGTTATTATTCGGAGGAAAAGACATTCAGCGCAGCTTCATCAACACAGAAAGGTGCTGGCTTACCACCGTCTAAAGTCTACGTCGGTCGAAAGGTAACATTTACTGAAATTTAAATATTGGCGCTCATTTTTGAAGGAAGGAGATGATGACATTGAGAGTTTGCTTGCCAAATTAAGTCCTGAGGAGCTCGAGGATTTGAACAATGACTTTGATCCAGATGTGAGTTGTATGATCATGTTCTTCGTCTTTGTTTTTGCTGATGGCCAGTGTACCTTGACTTTCCTTGAATCTTCACATGATTTTAATGTGAAATTAATGTTTTGTGGGAACTTTTCGTTTGTCATCATCTGTTTTCATGATTTTCGTTGGTGTCGGTGATGATGCACATGTTTCTTCTTCTTCTCGTCAACATACTCGTAGAGTTCGGGATTCTCTCATCGAGTAAGAAACAGATCGAAGTTTAAGCCTTGAGGGTTCAAATTTTGTAAAATCATATATCTTAACGTACAATTTTTGTTTTATTTTATTTGCAAAGTTTGGATCGATCGATAAGCGTTGTGATCATATGACGATAAGAGCCCGAACGTACATACGGTAAATACTGAGCTGATGAGATCAGAACATGAAATTCGAGAAGAAGATGATCATTGTGGATTTCCTTACCTTACTTGTATTTGCCTTCGATTAACTTCATAATTCCCTTAATGTTCTCATCAAATATTCGGAAAACAAACGATCGAAAGGTCTTCGTCTCCGTTTTTTTCGTTTTCACTTTTTTTTCTTTTAACTTCGAGTTTACTTTGTTTGTTTCAGAACTCTATGCTTCCTCCTTCTCAACGTTGCCGTGATCAAACAACGAAAGCTCCGACGGGTCCATACAAACGTGAAAATTTGTTGAAATTTTTAGAAGAACAAGCAAAGAATGAGAAAGACTGGGAAGATGTCATGCCATATTCGCCTGGTGTTAAGCGAGGTTCTTTACTTTCCCTCCTTTCTTCAGTTCAATGTTTGTGTTTAAGGCAAAGTTTTCGAAGACGAGGATATGACTATAAATGAAAATATGGAAAAAGGAAAGGGAGGACTTGGTGATATGGAAATGCCTATCGAACTCGATATTGAAGATGAGGATGAGGATGAAGATGGTCTTGATGAAGCTCTTGATGGAGCACCAGAAAGAGATCTAGTCGATTTGGCTGGAATCTTAGGTGAGCATACTTGACCACACTTACAAGTTTTGATTGTCGTTTCTTTCTAGGAATGCACAATATCCTTAATCAACCTCAGTACTATAATGCCTTGAAAGGAAAGCGGCAGGACGATGCCACTGGAACTACCTTCAGGTTTGCCAGAGAGTTGAATATCTCATAACATATAATGATGTTTACAGTGGAATCATTCGTGGTTACGAGCCCAAAATCATTCCTGACGAGCCAGAAAATGAAACAAATGTGGACGATTGTATAGAGTGAGTAATCCTCTCAGAAACAATAACAATGATACCTTTAGGCGCCTTCAATCTGATGACGACACGTTGACAGAGGTTAACATCAATAACATGAAACGAGTTTCTAAAGTGAGTCAATAGAATTGTTTATTATTATTTAACTTATGTTGTTTGTCAATTTAGGAGAGAATTCGAACTCTTATATCTGCTGCTTGTAACAGTAAACACATCACGAAGCTGTCCATGGCCAATACGGCGATCTCAGATAGTGAAGCTAGGGTAGGTGTCCTCTTATTCCGTTCAAATATTTGTTTTCCTTTTACGGAATATCAACAATGTTGTTTTTCAGGGATTAGTTGAATTGTTAGAGTCTTCACCGACTTTAAGAATCTTAAACGTTGAATCCAATTTTTTGACGCCGGAGTTATTAGCGAGGTTACTAAGAGCTACCTTAAGCACTCAAAGCTTAGTAGAGTTCCATGCTGAAAACCAGGTACGATGATCTTCCATGAAGACTTCCATAATTCGATACTGTTTCTAGCGCCAAACTGTTTTGGGTAATCAAATAGAAATGGATATGATGATGTCTGTGGAAGAGAATGATTCTTTGCTCCGTGTCGGAGTAGCGTTCCAGTCGATGGAAGCACGACATCGTGTTTCGGAAGCTTTGGAACGAAATTATGAACGACGTGAGTTTACTTCCTACATCCCCATCTCATGCAGGATGTGTTTTAGTGCGTTTGAAACGTCTGGGGAGACTGACAGAGATCGAAGAATAAGAATCTTCGAAAGATAAGTTTCCTTAATGCCTAAATATGTAAAAGAACAGATTGTACAGGATATATATTGTGCTTTACCTTGTCATTTAATTATTCTAATCGTTGTGCAATCCCTTTTCTTCTTCTTCTTCTCTTCTTATCTTATACTACCTTTTCTCAGAGAATTCTATTTGTGGAAAGTAGAAAACGACGGATTTATTGTGATCTTTCTTATTTTTTTTCGTTTTTTTTGAATTTGGAAGTATATATGTCCATACTAGCTCAACTTGTCTATTTCTTACTGCCATCCTCCTCTTATTTCTAGCTTCTATTAAGGAATATCATGCATATCAAAGCTTTCTATGGAGTTGTATTTAAGAATTTAGCCCAGAATTTAATAAAAACACTTTAACATTCAAATACTTCATTATAAGATCTTCTGAATTCGTTGTCATGCGATTTACATTATGTCTTCTTACTCCGTTTGTCTGTTTGAGCTTGTAGTGAGTCACCCATTATATACTCCAATCCTTCCCTGTTTGGTCTTCTGTGCACACTCTCTTTACCTACTTCAAGCAGCTGCTCCCCTTTTTGCTTTTTTCACTCATTCAGAATCCGTTTTTGGAGTGAACAAATGGATGAAACTGACAAACCAAGTGTATGCCACACTGACCATCACCATCACTACCTGCAAGCAGTAGCATAGCAAAACAACTTTCCTGTATTCGCTTTTTTTTGTTTTTCAGAAATTGTGGTGAGTTTTAAGAAAGCTTTAACTTCTTATTTTAATCAAATAACTTGGGGAAACCTGTGGTGGATAGATGATATAACGTTGGACAGCTGACGATGCCTGAGCTGGAGATGATACTTGAAAGCTGGGCAGTTCATCGAACATGCCATCGGATCTGCTACTTCTGCAAGTAGACAAACAGAATACCGAAAACAAATCGCAGAAAGACTAAGAAATTCCAGTTGTCTTCTTTTTCAGTAAGAAAGATCTTCGATTTGAGACAGACGATGACTTACCCTAATTGAGAGTTCGAGGAATCAACCGTTCGAGCAGATATATCACCGTGTTGGTTGAAGACGGCAGCTTTCCTTTTTTTCTTCTGCTCCGGTTGTGTGTCGATGGCTTCCACATCGATGTTATTGGCGTCATGAGGGGTATTAGTTGGGAGATCAGAAGCACCTGCAGAAAGAATAATTGGTTTGCATTTCGATTGCAAATATACTTTTCTGCTCTAACTCAGTAATACGTATAAGAGGCTCTGCTCAAGATTCAAGTAAAAGTGATTCGATGGCACAAGAAGACGTTTAATAACGATTTTTACATTAAGGAAATATATTCTACAAGGTGGAAATTGTATTGAATTCGCGCTCTTTTCTTTTACAAACACTTGGACGTGAATCAAGAGATCAAGGCTTTAATGATATCTTAAATAAAGCTTAATTACTCTGAGATTGAGATAGTTCCGGTATGGTTGGCAGGCTGCATCTCTTGTCAACAGCCATCTCTCCATGTGCACTTCGAGCGGACAGGCCTTCTTCAACTCTCACATTGTGAAGCAGATCTTTCATAGAAAGATGTTTTCTGAAAAAGGAAAGGATATTGGATCTTCAGAATGGGGAATATCAAGTATTCGCCGCTTCTCACATACCGGTCAGAGCCATGTGTCCGTGCAGTGCTGAATTCATCTTCCATTTCAATATCAATTGCTGTAGCGTTCGGAGGTGAAGAGCCAACATTTGATGAAGTAGCTATTGATCGACTGAAAATTTGCATAAAAACATGAGTGATTTGAAGCGCGCTCGAATTATAACGAGTTTCATTTTTGAATGTTCAACAAGTGAAACCGGTTGCTCATGATTTTTTTGATGTTCTGTCATCACTTAACATTAACTTCAGGTATCTTCCGTTCAAAAAAGAAAGAGAACACTTCGTAGTGGACAGAGAGAAAGTGAAGAATGAAAAAGCTTACGGAAGATATATTGTTTGGGTTTTTTAGCTTTTCATTTCGACCTTTACAACCAAAATTTCATAGGAATGGGAAGAACTGGACAATTAATAGTGGAAATAAATAGATGAAGTTAGTTGGAAAAAGGTTTTTTTCAGAGGTTTCAATGATAACGATCTAGATCATGATGAACGTATGGCTTACCTATAAACTACTTTCTTGGAAACTTTAGGAGGTGTCTGTGCTGATCTTGCTGGCACAGCTAGTGTCTCCTTATTGTTAATACGTATGGATATTTCTTCATTCTGTAATATCTATTATCATTTCAGATTCTCTATGCATTTCCTGGTTTTCATTTGCTTGAAGTGTTTGTGAGCTTCAAGGTTATGCTAAAGTTGAAAATGCTGTGGAATGTTTCTGTTTTATTTTTTTTGTTTTCTCTTCGAACGCAATTGAGCAGCTGTTGACGAGTAGATCTGGTCCACCAACCTGGGCTAGTTTCTTTTTCGGACTCTTAGAACAGCAGCTGATCGGACAGAGAGGAAAATATGAAGATGAAGGCGGCATCTTAAGATTTCATGAGGTATTTCATTAAAACACAAGCATAATAGAAGTAATGAAAGCAAATGAAAGGCAACAACTATATGAAAGCGATTGGAATGCTGTAGATGATCACAGGTTAATTTAAAATGAACAAAAGATCAGAGCTTAACTATAAAAGCATACGAAAGGTAATTATATAGGAAAGGTGAAGGTGCAAATTGGACAAAGCAACTAGATTAGAATATTATCAGAGAAGAGTGGGAGGATATGAGATAGCATCCGAAAAAGAACCAGAAGCAAATGACTGACTTGGTAATGGTAAGAAGCGACACTTAGAGTCTTATCAACAAGTATTTTAGACACACTGTCAATACATTTTTGACATTAGACGAAAGAAAAAATAACAAATGGTTAGTTAACTAGAATATGAAACGATTTCAATTTCTATTTTTCGAAAAGAGAAAAACGACTGTTATTCTACAAACTCAAAACAGAAACGACTGGGAGACATCAGAGTGAAAGAAATTTTTTTATTATTCAAATAGTTAATGGAAGGAAACGAAGTCAAAAAGGATGTGTTTAGAAAAGAGAAAATAAGAGAATTACGAAAAAAACGACCAACAGAAAGGGTGAAGGTATAAACTAGAAGATGTCATCATCAGAATTATTTTCATTTCAGTCCTAACTTAGGTGAAAGCAGGTTTTGTTAAGACACCACTATGTGGTCGTTGTGCTTATGAGACTATGGAAATGTAAGTTTCATTCTACTTTTTCTAAAGATTCTTGGTAGGAAGACGAGAACGTATAGTGAAAGTTCGAAATAATTAAAAGGAATTTGATGTCTTGCAGACGTTGAGCTGAAAGTATTTTCAAATTCAGCAGTTGCTAGGGCTGTGTTGGGGAAGAGAGAGAGGTGATACAAACATTCTGAATGCTGAGCGACATCGTGAGACTTATAGTTTTCGTCAGAAGTATATGTTGGAGTATCTGACGATATGATGTTGCCGTTTGATGACGACTCCTGATTGAGAGCAAGAGAGAGAGAGAAAAGAAGAAAAACTTGAATAATTAAAATTTTATACTTGGCTAACTATCCATATACTTAATGAGTTACAAATGAAAAAAATGAAAGTTGTAACATATCGTTCGTAATGTGAAAAAGTGATCGAGCCGTTTTCTCACAGACCGCCATTAGTAATTAAGTATTAAGTAGTGAAGGGAGCAAACGAAAATGAAGGAGAGAGAAAGAGAGAAAGGTAATCATATAGAGGAGAGTAGCCTTGGTAACCAATACTTGGTGAAGGAGCAAGAGATTGCGGTGACAAAACTCTGTCTATAAGCCATTCATTAGCTTTCTAATGAAAGCATGAGTTCCATTTGTGGCAGTAGAATGTCTTCAGAGATGTGTTGTTGAAAAAATGAAGATAAAAGGAAGATCAATGCAATACTGAAGATGGTACGTGTGACATGTGATTGAAATGAAGGAATGCATGTAGTGTGAACAAGATAAAGCTTCTTTCGAACGTTTCAGCACAATTTTCGAAAGTTGAATTGTTAACTATCATAACCATTATTCTTAGAATATCAAGAGATGTGATTGAGCAGAAAAAATCATAATTGCGTTCAGAATGTGTCTTATGTCTCGTTATCATTGACTTGATATGGAACATGAGTTATACGTAGAGACAAGAACCTTGCTTATGCTAGTTTGTTACATTTCATTATCAGCAACTTGTCAATTTAGTTGAAACTACGCTTGTTTAGCAAATTATTTTACGAGACGTTACGGAATGGGACGAAGAGAAAGACAAATTCAAATAATTTGTAGTTGTTATCAGGTGGACGAGAAGCTTGTCTCAATTACAGAAGAATTCATTTTTTGAATTCTCAGAATGGAGTGAAATAGAGCAGACGAGAGCGAGTCAAGAAGGGAGTTTCGACTTCAAATCTATAATATGAAAGGGGGGGGGTAACAACTTAAACAAAAACGAAAGTCACGAGTTCAAAAATGGTGGTTTGAACTGTTCATGACTTAAAGAGTGTGAAATCAGAATTGAACCGGAAACAGTTGAGTACGATCGATTGATATTGAAAAGGTAAATTATTCACACATAGGTCAACTTCCGGTCATTCAGGATGGGTGGGTTTAATTGTTTGCATCTCTCATTTCCTGTACTCTTTTTCTCATAAATCGTGGGAACCAGGGGCGTGGCCAGTTACTGTTGACGAATTAAAGGAAAAAAAGTTAAAATTCCCTCTTTATATTCGAATTTTTTTATGAAATGGATTTCATAGAGCTGATGCTGATCGAGATTTCATTATCATATGAGTGCAAGGTTATGAGTGGTTGCGTGACTGTTTATTTGATAGTTTTTGTACTTTTTAATGAAGTTATTGTGATAGCCAGACATTTACGATCACCTACAGTATTTTATATGACTGTATCCTTTAAATATACTTTAGTATGGTATTTCAGTCAACTCGACAGACAGTCTTACCTTCACTCGTTTTAATATCAAAACTATGTCTCACCACGAAGAACCGTTCCTCACTGGATTTGACAGGATTGGAAAGAATGTTTGTTTTTTTTTATCATTTCTTCTCCAGTTTCTGTTATCAATGCTGTCTTTAGTGGACAGATGATCAGTACGCATGGCGTCGTGGTCCATCCAAGCAGCTTCTCCAAATAAAGCCTGATTACTCAATGAAAATCCAGAAGAAGTGTGAATTGAAATATGGAAATGTCCCGGATGCCTTAATTGGAAAACAAAAGGTAATCGTTGTGTGTTTCTTAAGACTATAGATAAGCTATATTAAGAGCGCACCGAAGAGCATTGAAAATATGAGTACTGAAGATGGTTTCTCAGCCACTGATTGTTCATTTGACTCATGTGAAATCAGCTTAGCTTCGGATCAGAGTGTCAGCCCACAGGTAGGAAATCTTATCAAATTGTTTTTCATTATTTTTAATGATAGATGAGTCGTGAGAACATCCCAAGTATTTTCAAAGTCAACACTCAAGCTGTTCCTACTTCTTTGAACTCTTCCTCCTGTGGATTCCGAACATACTTGAAAGGACAACCTCGTAAAAAGGTTTCATTCGTTAGTGTATAGTGACGTAATCTTCAATAGTTTAGTTCTGTTTCTACTGCTTTGATATGGAATTCCGTAACTGCATCCTGAGACATGAAGCGTTACCTTCGGCCAATCAACCTGGCATCTGGAAGACACACACGACTTACAATTCCAAAGGTCTTCTCAGGTAATCATTTCAATACACATACTAAGCTTATATCACAATAATTTCAGTTGCCCTTTGTTGCATTTCTTCCAACGTGCTCCTACTGATTTCAATGTCAGAAACTATGATCCAACCGATCTGACTTGTTCACAGTATGCAGCCTACTTCCATACCGTACCTGATAAGTCGACTGCTTTCCCAAACAATTGTTGTCGCTCATATGAACGTCGTGAAGGCCGAAATAGATGGATGAAAATGACAAACTATCGTGACTAGAATGGTATCTCTTCTCTTGTTCTACTAACACCTAATTCGTTTATTCAATTTGAAACACAATCGTTTTAATTTGAACATTTGTACTTGTATTCGCTTTTGTATACTGTGTTGTTTCATCTATTGGATCAGTTTTACTCAATGTTGGCCATATCAACTTGTCTTGTACCTTACGCGTTCAACCGCCAGGTTTTTGTTATTTTTATTGTTACGTTTGGATAAGAAAATTTATTCTCACTTTTCGTCTATTCCAATATACTTGGATAACTGGGAGTTTCATTCTCTTCTATATATTTCTCATCAATCGTTAAGTTATTTTTAGAGTTTCAAGAGTTTGTTCGAGCTGTTTCGTATCATCATGTAGCATTATTTCAGTCGATCCAGATCTGTTCACTGCTTCTGTGTCTTGTTAGGGAGCTCTTCAAGTGAATGAATAGCAGGTAAGAAAGAGAATTCAGAATGAGTTTTCAGCTTCTTTTTCTTCAGGTTTACGAGCAGGAGAGCTTAATGGGATGGAGGACGTCAATGACGGATATCAGCGTCTGCTCAGATTAGGGGACTTGGGAGTTGATCGTACGTCGTAGTGTTATCTTCCTCTTGCTAATCGTTATTATTT